TTTGTTTTCCTGATTATTTGTTGCTTTCCAGCTTAATGGAACCCACTAATGGTTTAGCTCCCTTATTACATTTTCCAAAGAGATTGTTGTTGTAACTTTGCTGTTGAAAGTGTATATTTTTTCTCCCGTAATCATTAGTTTCTTTCCAGCCCCAATTGGCACCACAAATGGCAGAGGTCCCTCGTTGTACTTTCCAATTTGACTTTGACTTTGAGAGAAGAATTCTTGCTGAAGCTAAGAAAGGGAGCCAGAACTGGAGCAAAATTGCATCTGAAAATCAGCCATCAAAAGCTGGTCCATCAACTTCTATGGTATGATACGTTTATGTGCGCTGCAATGCAGTTTGATCCTTATGCTACGATTTGTTTTCTTTCTTGTGTGTGGTATTCTTTTGTTTATTTTTTTCAATGTGCTTTATTCTCTATAGCTTTGAAAGGATGTTTGGCAATATACTGCGTATGTTTTTCCTTCCTACCATGCACTAAGGAAACATGGTTTAACACTGATTCTCATATGCTTTTGCTATTGGTGAATTTGCATGATCGTTGCTTTTTATGATGGATTGAACATTTGAGTGATGTTGGCTTATTATTTCTTGAATTTTGTAGCATTTCCTTCTTTTCTTATGCTCAGGGCTGTAAACGAGCCGAGCTGAGCCGAATCGACTGTCATGGTTTAGATTTAGCTTTGTCAAATCATAAGTTGTTCATGTTCAATTCAAGCTTGTGCCGAGCTTTCCTTATATGTTCATACTTGGTTTAAATTTTTTAATGATCATATTTGTTTGTTTATAGTAATGGAAATTTATATACACACCACACATGAATTTACATATCTAACACCTAGATGTTGATATTTATATTTATAACACTTTGATATTAAAACCTATGCATTAAAAGGCGAATTTCACTTTAAAAAGTTAGTCATAGTTATATTTTTTATATTATTTCAAGATTTCAGTGTAATGTATGTAAATATGAATGTTTAGGTGTTAGATTTGTAAATATACATAAAAAATAGCATATGCATGTAGATACCCCTTATAGTAATTAAATAAACTAAAAATTTGACCGAGTATTTAATTTTTCATATAAAATTAAAATTTTGATTAGTGGTTGATTTTTTATATAATGTTATTTGAACAAGATAAAAATTTGAATGAATAGTTTATTTCTTGTATAAAGTTTCTAACAAATGATTTTATAAATCTAAATAAAAGTTAAATAAATTTCAAATTATCATCTAAGTGGTTTGTATCAAGTAAATTAAATAATATATAAGTGGCAAGTAAGTTTTCTTGCAATCAAATAACATAAATAAGTACTAACAAACTAGTTCATTGAAATAAACAAAAAATTAGGAAAAAAATACATTTACTTTATATGTATATTGATAAATTATATATATATATATAACATTTAACAAGTTATTTGTTGAACAACAAATAAATTTATTCATAAATATTATTAAACGAATTGAACTATGCTCAATTTTGATTCACTTAACCTTTGAGTTTTAAAAGAGGTTCAAGCTTGTTTATTTACTAATTTGAACAAATATGACCGATTATTAATCGAGTCGAGCTCAAGCTGTTCATCAAGTGCACTGGTTCATTTACAGTTGTGCTTCTGCTCTTGTTTGAGACCTTTGCTTTAAAGAAAAACTGTCTGGCAGCAGACTAATCAAAAAGTGAGTTTATATCTCACCTTTCGTTTTTAAATTTGTAATTTAACTTCTTCATTAAATTGTTTTGGATTCTTTCCTTTTATTGCATAGATTCACCTTAAATGTTGAGGATATTAAACAAGACTATTTACTTTCAGATTGCATACTTTCTCCGTGCTTACAATTCACATGTTATTTTTTAAGATTTTTTTTCATGTTATCTAGTAGCATTATCTTCATAACGTTGTTTTTAGCTGATGTTATCTCTCTTGTTGTAGGGTTCAACCGGAGATCCATTGGTGGAAAAGTATGTTAGTGAGGGACTCCCACGTGAAGCTGCATCTCTTGGAGTTTTAAACTATGGAGATAATCCAGTCAAGGTATAATCCCTTTTTTGTATTGTTAATGGGATAAGTTTTTATAGACCATGAAATAAAAAAATAAGAACTAATGTTATTGATTAGAAACATTTATCACATAATTAAAGACATAGATCATAGTTTAGAACTGGAGTTAATTTACAATTGACATAGCAAAATGGTGCTCCCTTTGTTAAGTATTTAATTAATACAAGAGCTATTTTATTAATAATCTTTTTAATGCTCGTATGTAATTATCTTTTAAAATTTGGTGGTTAGTATCACGTGCCTATTGTTTTTCTAAAACTTGCACATTGATTTGCTTAAACTGCAATTTTATTTTCTCTATTTTTTGTTTCTGCTTTTCTTCGAAATAAATTTTTCTTACGATTATTATTACTTAATGAATTTTTTTGGTCTTGCAATGGCTAGAAGGTGATTCAAGAAGAGTTTTTGATCGTATAATATATAACAATGTTTGTGTTGATGTTTATATTTTGGGTATAACAAAAATAAATGTTATTTGATACGGTGGTGTAATGTGAGAGTTTGCCAATCTTTCAATATAGAGAGGAAATTTATAGTTTATTAGTTGAATCAATCTTAATATAGGAAAAGACAGCTAATTCTATTAAGAGGAATATTTTAGAAGTTCTAAGAGAGTTTAGAAATTTACTTTACAGTAATATATAGACTAGGTGGAAGAGTGAGGTGGCATGAATGTTTATGAAGGCAAAAATGTGCTTTTAAAGGGCAGGCAATTGAATACTAACGAGGTGTTGGTCATGTAAAATATAGAAGTCTTGCAAAGAGAGTAGCGAGCAAGGCAAGAGGAATGGGGCGAAGACGATGACAACAACTACAAGCCTTTAGCCCACCAAGGGAATAATGGATGCATAAAAAATATTCAAGATAAAATATAACATATTTGAGACTTTGACCTAATTAGTTTTAGTTGCATTAGAAGTTTAGTTGTGCATTAGAAGTCTACATAATTGATTTTTAGTTAAATATGAAGATGTTAATTAAAGATAAACTTGTTACTATGAGAAATTAGGAGTATTCGGACTACATTGCAAACCTTTTTCAGTAAACCAAACAATCAAACATAAAAATGTACTCTTACATTTAATTTACACTAAACTAAATAACTTCAATGTTTTTCAAATAGACTATATTTTAATTATATTGCATTTTTTTAACACTGCATTTCTTTTTTCAGCAAACCAAGTAAACAAGCAGTCTTTTAGTAGGAATAAGTTCTTTTGGAAGAGTATAATAAATAAGATCATAGGATATATTCTAAATGGGGGATTTACAACCAGAAACAACCTATATTACATATCGAACACCTTAAACATTAATTTTGCTTAAATATCACCCAAGCCTTAAGAAGACCCTACTTCTACCTCTCTGTTATTCTGCTCCTCACAGAAGCTTCACGCCACAACTATCTTTTCGCCTTGCAATCCCTAGATCCATTTTGGCACGGTCTCCCTCTCCGTACACAAACCCAACTCATCCCCACTTCTTTCCTACTGTGGCCAACTCTGCATTTCACTTTCGCCGTTTGCTTCCACCTCAATAGCAGAATCGAGCTCCCTTGTATTCCACTGTTTCGCACGCAGTGGTGAGCTTCCTTACACGGGCTTCACTGGCTATCTTCAAAGACCGTGCTTTGATTATGGTAACAGTGGTGAATGCAATGGAGCTTGAGAGAAGAAAAATGACAAGAATGAGCTTGAAGGAGTAGGAGAAATGAATGTTAGTGAGGCCTAGCCTGTTACTGTTAGTCAAGGTAAGGCCCATAGAGTTTTGGGTTTCCGAGGAAGGTTGAGGAGTTGAAGTAGCTGAATTGGCCAGCCACCGGAACAAGGTTGGAGAGGTTATTGGAGGAGAAATCAATGGCTGCGAGGCTCTGTGTTGAGGAGATGGATGGGGGGATGCTGCCATCGAGGTGGTTTCTAGAGAGGTTGCGGTGTATTTTGAATAATTGTTACAGCTGACTAATTTCTGGCGGGACATTGTCAAAGAAGAGAATTTGCTGAACGTGGGAGATGACTGAAGATAACGGCAAGAGCGAGCAAATGTAATGGAGTGATGGAATCCAGCACTTCATAAGTTTTGAGTGATATTTAAGTAAAATTAAAATTTAAGGTGTTAAATGTGTAATATATGCTGTTTCTGGTGGTATGTATGTAAATCTCCCATTATAAACTGATAAAAATAGCGAAGTGGAGTTGGCTCTAAAAAAGATACATTGACTCTAAAGTTTAAGGTCCATATGAGATGCTTTTGGAGATTTGGAGAGTTATACGGGATACTATATGTATTTAGTAAAATTTTCAATGAAATTTTGATGATTAAGAGGATACCAAATGATTGGAAGGAGCATTTTCAGTACCAATATTAAAAATAAAGGAGATGTTTGAGATTTGTCAAAATCATAAATGATTTAACTTTCATAACATCTATAATCTATTGTGTATATTTCAAAGAAGAAAGCATGGATTCAAAAGAATTATGCTAGTTTTAAAGAATAAATTTGGTTTCATGCTAAGAAAATTTATTATATAAAGGATTTTTTTGGTTAAGCTAGTTATATAATGGTGTATATTGATTTTGAAAAGGCATATGATTGAATATGCAGAGAAGTTATTTGATGTGTATTAACGAAGAAAGGTATGTTAAAAATATGTTGGAAGTTTTTAAAGGTCAATATGATAGGACACAAGTAGTAAAATTAATTTTGGATTAATTTTGGAGCAACTAAAATGTTCACCTATGATAGTATTATATCAATAATTAACATTTCTATATTGATTATGGAGATTCTTAATAGGGATGAGCCCAAGTTGGTTCTTTGGTGTTGCTTTTCATACCTGATAGGTGTAATTTTTCAGCTATTTATTGAAATAATTAAAATGTTAAAATAATTGAAAATATTTATAAAATAAAGGGTTTAAAATGCACGAATTATATGAGCCTATAAAGTTATTGCCAAAGGATTAATAAAGGGAAAGTAATAGATCTAAGATGATTTTTAATAGTAGCTATTCAAAATGATTTGTAACGAGCATGTTTATAGCAAGATTTGACGTCTTTTACATGAAAAGCGTTAACAGATTCAAATAAAAATGAGCATAATTCTCATTTTTCAAAAAATTAGGATCAAGGCTTTCGGCTATGAAAAATCTCTAACCCGAACATATCATTCTGTTAAGCCGCATTACAAAGTCCGAAATTCTTCCTACAAATAGAACTAGAAATTCTAGCACTTCCCTTATTCCATTCCATCTACTGCTTCACCAGTAGCTTGTTTAAACTTTATTCCACACAATCTTATTTTCTCATTTACTCTGCTAAAAAACCTTTTCAATAAAGAAATAATCTACTCCTTACCCATCCTACCAATTTATTTGAACTGATGCTTCTGCTGTCATGCTACAGAATGATGTATTGCAATTTTCATGCCATCTTGCTGTAATGCTTCATTGCTTCCAGAAATTCACTCGCAATCTGCTGTCTCTTTTATTGCCTGTGCACAAATTTTTTGTGGTTATGTGGATTTGTGCTGTAGGAAATTAAAATAGAAGTTATTTTTTATGTAAATTTCATTGTTGAGGGTGAAGTGTTTGGATGTAGATTACTGAATTGCTTTTCCCTCACTTTTTCAGGTAAGAGAGTTTGTCAGAGGCTACAACCTTCTTCGGGAGATGGGATTTGCTTCGAAGAATGTTACGGAAGCTCTAGCCATGTACGATAACGACACTGACAAGGCCATAGCACATTTCCTCAACAACTCCTGATGGCACAGATTATTTGCTCGAAATTTTATGGTTAATGTTATGTTCTCCTATAACCACTTATGTTGCTATATAAGGTTGTAAAACATTAACAATTTTTTCGTATTCATAATTTGTAAATTATCGTTAATTTTAGAAGGAATTTTAAGGATCACCGACATTTTCTATACAATATAATTAACATAATATTCTCATAATACAATTTTCTCCACCGCTGTGGAATGACCTCTGAATCCAATGTATGTCGTGAAAGCTGTCGTAGTGATCGATCTTGCAATTGATGGTCTTCAAATTCTTTTTCAACACCATTTTCAGTTACGTCATTTGTAGCCTATTAGGGCACATAATAATTCTCTTCGCTCATGTGTACTGGTGGTGTATAAATTGGAGGTGTGTCGAAAAATAGCTTGAAGGCAAATATAGGCTCAGACATAGGAATGCTTTGAAAATTTAAATCCATATCCCTTCTAGTATATGTTGTCGATTGTAAATATTTGAAGGACCCTCGTATGTCGATTATCCTGCATAGCTGATGGGTCCTGTATATCCGTAGGGTTCTGCATAGCTGGAGGGGCCCTCAAATGTTGATTGGCCAAGATATTTTAAGTGAGTTTTACGTGTTCTGGAAGCTAAAAATATCCTTGGAGCATCTGTTATTGATCGTCAAGCGGTAGTATAACCCAACTAATGCAGAGCATCAGAAGTTGATCTTGGGGAGCTAGATGGTCTGACATCTGTTTGATGAGATGTCCCCGTCTCGAAATCATGCCTGCTTGGCTGATCAATTGCGGTATAATTGTTGCAAAGATATTGCAGAAACTTTGGAGGGCATTGTAATGAAACTGCTAGCTCCATGAAACAAGGATACAATGAGATGCTGGAGCTATCACGCAGAGTAGTAATCCATCTCTATATTGAAGAATTAAGTTTATTATTTTGTATTATAATAAAAGTAATTAGTTGTAGCTATAAAATATACTAAATACATATCACTATTTTTCTCTCCAAGTGACTGAGTAGTGGGCTTCATTAGGTAGAGTGATGCCCAAGATTTTAGTACATTACAAATAATGAGCAAGTTCTTGTTCCCGGCTCCTTGCAGCAAGTTTAATGGTACCATATATGTCCAACAATTATTCTACATATTGATATACTTGCGGTGATATTGTATCAAATCAACTTCAGCTTTACCTTGCCCATCAATTCTCATAAATCTCGTTTGATGGGGTCAATAGATATAAACTAAATGGTAGAAAACTATCACAAGGCATGATTTGGAAGGTGCCACTTGGCATGCTTCTAGCAGATTATTGGAACACGAGCATTCCAACTATTTATGTCATCTTATAAAACTACGTATAGATCTAAATATGGCGACCAAATAACCTGCATATCAAGTTATGAATTTAATTATATTTAAGAGAAAAAATGTGATAGGAATGTGGGATTGAATATAAGGTTTATGGTTAAACCTGACTCTATCCGAGTCTATAAGGTTCATCTCTGTAATACTTATATTTCCAGATGGTTATATACGTAGCAACTGTTCATTCCATATATATATTAGTTTACTAAATGAGATAAATCCGATTTAAAATTTTGTGTGTTTATATATACAAATATAAATTAATTTCGTACATAAACACGAGCAATTTGGCTGATAAATCACGAGGAGTCGCAACATGAAGGGTTGGCCAATGTAAACACACATTAGTTGTGACGCCACTAGACTTAGTTGATATAATCAATTCTCTGTAAAGACGTGCAAGCGCTGTGCCACCTAAAGCATATCTTCCAAATTCTTCTAAAATTTTCATTAATGTTAAATATTTTAAACGTACATGCGATCCAAAGATATCTGGAAGAAGAAAATATCCTAATATGACAATATATAAGCTCTAACATGCCTTAAAAAATCTTGTGGATGTAAATCCTCATAAGACTCCCTATAAAATTATCAAGAGTTATCGAAGCGGTATCATAGTATGTGCTTCAGAGTGTCCATAAAAAGTTTGATATTATCTCATGATTTATAGGATGATAGTAGTTAACATCATCTCTGGGGTGGTCACCCATAAACTCATCGTAACATGCTGGCCAACTTGGCTAGTGTAAATTTGGACCAACAGTAGACCCTATGAGGGCGTTTTCATTCATCTTAATACCAATAAGTATCTATACATCCTATAACGTGATAGTGATCATCTAAGAAAAAAAATGTATTTTGTGTAAGTTTAGAGAATTATAATTAACATGGTAATTTGTTAATATGAATATTACTTTATCTTATCTATAGATAAATGAAATGTATGCGTTAAGGGGGACCACCGCTCGACCGTCGTTGTTAATAGATGGTGATCTAATTCTATATATTGTAAGTGCTTGACACAAAAGAAAAAATTGGGCACTGCACCTGCTACTCTTATGCCACTAGAAAATCGTTGGTTGCTTCAAGAACTTTGCCCTATATAAAATCGGTTATTTTAGTTGTGATAATGATTTAATTCAATTTCTAAAAACGATGAAATGTCGCTTCCAGCCATTTTCTAGTAGCACAAGAGTGGCATGTACAGTGCCCATGTTTTCTTTATGCACTATGATTTGTAGGTATAGACTGTGTCAGACACTTACAATACAACAAATTAGACCACCATATATTAAAAACGATGGACGAGTAATGGTGCCCCTTAACCAATATGTTTCATTTACCTGTATGTAAGATAAAGTGATATTCATATTAACTTATTACCATGTTAATTATAAGTTTTTAAACTTAGAGAAATACATTTTTCTCAAATGACTATCTCCTTGCAAGATATACAAATACTAATTGGTATTAGGACAGACAAAAATGCACTAGTAGGACCTAATGTTGTTGGTCCAAATTTTCGTTGTCCAAGTTGGCTAGCATGTTTTCAACTAGTTGTTGGGTGACCATCCGAGAGATGGTGTTATCTACCATCATCCTGTACATCATGAGATAACATCACACTTTTTTATGAGACACTCCGAAGCACAAACTATCATACTGCTTCACTAGCTTTACTGACAATTTTACAGGGAGCCTTATGAGGATTTACGTCCACATGATTTTTTAAAACATGTTAGGGCATATATATTGTTCATATTAGAATATTTTCTTTTTCTACATAACTCTGGATCACATGTAGGTTTAGAATATTTAACATTAATGAAAAATTTAGAAGAATTTGGAAGCTATTCTTTGGGCAGCACAGTGCTTGCACATCTGTACATCATGAGATAACATCATACTTTTTTATGAGACAATCTGAAGCACAAACTATCGCATTGCTTCACTAGCTTTACTGGCAATTTTACAAGGAACCTTATGAAAATTTACGTCCGCAAGATTTTTTAAAACATGTTAGGGCGTATATATTGTTCATATTAGGATGTTTTCTTTTTCTACATACCTCTGGATCACATGTACGTTTAGAATATTTAACATTAATGAAAAATTTAGAAAAATTTGGAAGATACTCTTTGGGCAGCAGTGCTTGCACATCTGTATAAAGAATTAAATATGTCAACTAAGTTTGGTCGTATCACAACTGCTACTTGTTTACACTTGCTCCAAACATGATGCTGAGAGCACTTGCATGTTGGTAGACCTACACTTCATGTTCCGACTCCTCGTGATTTATTAGCCAAATTGCCCTCATTCAGGTGCAAAATTAATTTTTATTTTTATATATAAACACAAAAAAATTTAAATCAAATTCATCTAGTTTAGTTAAATAACATGCAAATGGAATGAATAGCTGCTATGCACATGACCATTTGGAAATATAATTATGTACAAAGATAAACTTGGACTCAGGCAGTGTCAGGTTTCACCTTAAACTCTTTTGTTCAATCCCACATTCCTATCATATTTTTATCTTAAATAAATTAAATTCATAACATGATATGCATGCTATTTAGTCACCATATTTAGGTTTATATGTATTTTTGTTATATGACATGTGTTTTCAAGACAAATATTGGGTTGCTCGTGTTTCAATAATTTTTGAAAGAGT